CCTCTCTTTTGAGTGTTCTCTGATCTGGAAAGAGGTCAAGAGAGAGTCAAGTAAGTGAATCGCTGTGGCTGGGTGGATCGTTCATTCTTCCCACTCTTGTGATTACAAGTGACAAAGGAAGAGGTGGAGAGATAGAGAAGAGACAAAAGATGGGTTGGAAGCACAACAAATTACAAGAAAATACGCATTAACATAAATGGAATTGTAATTCCCAGCGACAAAACAAGAGAGGGAGACAGAAACATTTAAAGATGTGACAGGAAGCCATCAGAGAGGGATAGAGACAGACAGACCGACAGAGAGAGAGAGCAAAGGAAGACAAAGACTTTAGAAGTAGAAACAGCAGCTAACCCCAAAAAGAGGTCTTCAATCATTTGTGTTCGTCTGCCTCTTTCGGTCATTAGTCAAAAATTTAAGCATCGAAATTAATTATACAACACAAAGTAAAAAACCAACAATGGGAAACGTTTAATTGGAGGGAAAGCATATAGCCCTCGGAGGCACACAGCCACAGCCAGAAACTCTATTTAAAGTTTCCCCAACAGCAACTTACAATCCACTCTCAGAATTGAACAATAGTTGAGATTTTTTGCATTTATTTTTAGTACATTTTTGTTCCAAAAAAAAACGAAATTTTCAAGCATAGCCAATTCTATTGCGCTCCCATTCTCTCCTTCTTTGGCTTTGCCTTTTGATTTGCTGTCATCTTTGCAATTGGCAAGCCAAGAAGCTCATGAAAGCCCAAGTCTAATTGGAACATTATGTCAATGAGTGGAAATGGGAGCAGAAAAGAGGGAAAAACTAACGGCAGAGATTGAGTCTCAGATTAGACTGCAACGAAAGTGAGTGGAGAGGGCAGAGGGAGATTAAAGTGAAATGAAAGTGAGTGGTGGAGAGAGAGATGGAGGGAGCAGGGGTTCGTCGCAGACAATTGCATAATCGTCGAAGCCCGCAGGCCACAAAAGTTCTCACACAAAAAAAGACAATGATGAGGGTACTCTCAGCAAGGGGAGAGGAGTACGGAATACCCTCTCTACTCAAAGAGGGAGGAAGAGCAGTGCAAAGGAAATGACGATGAGGAGATGCAAAGACAGCGATAAGTCAAAACATGATTCTCTTCTTCCCATCTGTCACTCGTTTCGCTGCCTCTGCTGCTGCCGCTGTTGCTTCTTGACCACTTTTATTTTCATGCCTCACTTGATGCACCCTCTCTCCTCTCTCTTTTCACTCCCAGTTTCCCCCATACCCGTTACCCCTTTCGACTGCACAAAGCCCATGCCCCCGACAGCAACAGAGTGAAAAATTGATTGTCATGCAAAAGTGAACTTTAGTTTTGAAGTTGTCTCTTCAACTGAGTGAGTGGGGTGAAGAGGCGCTCTCTCTCTCTCTATCTCTCTGTCTGTCTCACCATTGCATGCTTGCGCTCAGTCAAGAGTGAAGAGAAAATATATGCAAATAAATAAATACATATAAAGTTATTGTCATTCTTCCACTTCTTCTGCCTTCTACTCATTCTCCTTCTTGACAGAAGATGGTCCACAGCAAGGCAAATAAAAACTGAAGGTGAGGCAAGGCGAAAGAGAGTCACCCATTTCCATACTTTGGTGAGTGTAAATCAGAGCGGCACTGCTTTACCATATATCGAAATATAACTTAGGAGACACAAGTCCACAGTAGCTCTCTCTCTCTCTCTCTTTTACTACCTCTCTCTTTTTGCTTTGAAGTTTGTTGCTGTAGTCATTTGTCACTCGAAAGGATGCAAAAATTAATACCACTAACAGGGCAATTGCAATAGGCAATATTGCCTGGCCTGCTCCAACATTTATCGCTGCCCATTTCTGTGGCAAAATGTGTGCCATGACAGGACGGAGAGACAGACTGACAGACAGAAGAGGGGCTAGGCTAGGAACAGGGGCCAGCGACCCGCGAACCCCCCCCTTCTCGTTAAGTGGAAAACCAAGTCAAATGGCGGACGGCTTTTATGTTTGATGCTTCGCTGCCTCTCATTGTGTCGCTCTCTGCATCTCTGTCCGCCTGTCGCCAACGATGACTACGACGACTCGTGCTCAACGAAATTGGCCAGAAAAAGCTGGCCAAAAAACTGGCACGTTCCTATGCGTCCCCCCTCTCTCTCTCTCTCACTCTCACTCTATCCCTCTCGAGTTTAACCGATCCCCCTCCTTCTTTCCCCTTTGTCGGATGCCCATGACAACGTGACAACAGCAACAAAGAGGTCATTTACTTTCCTTGCGAGCATGAAATAAGCAGCTCTACCCCTCCCCTGCCCAACGCCACACTCATCCTCTAAAAGTGTGGCTGGAAAGCCAAACAAAGCCCAAAGCAAAAGTCAAACTCCACAAATTTCGTGCAAAATAAAACTCAAATGCAACAACAAAGAAGAGTGCTATAAGTAGTGGAGAATTATGACTATCAGGATACCCTTCAATTGAGGGAAATCTCTCCTTTCCCACCACATCCAATGTAAACTGTATCGCTTAAGAACCTCCTTAATGCGAGTGTGAAGAGTCTTTGCTGTATCCCTTCCATAGCAACGGGCTCTCTCCCTTTCAGTATTAATCCCTAAAGAAACCCTATTTACCCCGGCAATTATAGGGTATAGACAACAACATCAGCTACAAGAACAACAGAGCAATGAAACAGGAAGGAACACACAAATAAAACTCAGAGATAAATGAAATTGGCAACAGAAGCGACAGGCCACAGCGACAGCTACAAACGGAACAAGTTGACTTCTCTCTTTCTGCTTCTGATTCTTCTTTTTCTACTTTTCGTTTTATACTTTTTATTTATTTTTTTTTTAATTTTTTGGTATCAAAAATCGATTAACAATGAGCCCGGCAGCGATGCGGCGGCACAGAGCCGCAAAACTTTAACGGGACATTTCAAAAAGCCATTTTCTTTCAAATGCATTCGCGTGCCACACAGCGTGTGTGTGTATTTGGGTGTGTGTGGGTTTGTGTGTGTGTGTGTATACAAGACAGAGATACCCAGAGATACGATAATTGGTATAAAATGCCCGTTTATTGCTGTCACGAGTATCGATTTCTATATCAGGATGTGTCACGTGCAGATAGCAGTAGAAACAGGAACCAAAGCAAATTCTAATGGAAAGAGTGCTGCTCTCCCTTCCTCCTCCCTTCCATCCTACTCTATCAGTAGGATGATTCCATAATAGTAATAAGAGTAAAACAATTTTTTCGTCGTAATAAGTCGCGTGATTCACTCGAGAAATGATAATCGTTTAAAATTATAGCCTTGGATGATGTACTATTGAACAAAAACCAGCCTTAGATGAGGTAATGATTTCTGACTAATATTCAAAGCTAAAAAATATCCCCACAGCAAGTAAGTCACATGGGAACTAAGCTTTGATTGCACTGCCCTCCGTTAAAACAATCATTTTGTTTATTCCCTTACGTACTATTATGAAATACATGAATATTTTGCAATCAGGGTGCACATGACACACCCTAACAAGACACGCAACGACTTGCAAACGAAGACGAAGAAAACTAATGCAATTTCATGTAAAGGTAAACACGTCTAGCTATCCCCATCCCACTATATCTTACACCTACTTCCAATCTTTTACCCCACTATCGCCACCGTCTGGCTGTCAGCCTGTCTGCTGTTTTGTGTATTTACAGGTTTCAACATTTCCATTAGCCAAAACACACACACACACACACGCCAGTAAGTACGCACCAGACAGGGGCAGAATAGCATAAATATTTTATAACTGACTTAATTTCGTCTTCTCTATTACTCCATTGTCTATAATTAGAAGCTGCTGCGGGGGGGAAGAGGAGGAAGAACTGCTGGAGCGAGCGAGAGGCAGAAGAGAGAACAGAAACCGGAGCAGCAGCTGTAAAGATCGAGTATCTGCCAGAGAGTAACGCTGAAATCAAGGTATCTAAATAGAAGGTAAGGTAGTAAGGCATGTAGAACGAGACCCCCCCCCCATCTTTTACATCTATCTTTCTTACAATTAGGTCGTTAGAGCGGGAGGGGGTTAGTTTCGAGATTGACATCGCCTGATTGCAACAAGAACTAGGCGGCGGAATGCCAATTGGAATCTGGTGATGGATTCGAAAACAAAAGGGGGAGACGGCGCTGCGGTTGTGTTTTGTAAATGTTTGTGTCTGGTTGCGGGTCTCGTATTCCCGTTATCAGCGGCAGAGTCGAAATTAAACAAAACATGGAGACAGTGACAGCCGCCAAGCGAAGGGCGAGAAATGAAGAAGGGTCGGGGCGGAGAGGTGATGGTTGTTCAAAAAGAATACAAACAACAGTTCAATAAAAATAAACTGGAATTAAGCATAAACCAATAAGCAGTACGACGGCAAAGAAAGCCCGCCATGTGTGAGTGTGAGTGAGAACGCAGTAGAAGAAATACAAAACTGGTCTCAAGTCTCGCTCAAATATGCGCTCAAGGTCGGTCAACGGATTTGCTTTTGTTGCTCTTTTTCGACCAAGCAGCAGAAAAGCAACAGAAAGATCACAAAACAGGGCGCCAGAGAGAGGCAGAGCTGGAGTGAGAGCATAATTCTGCTAGCGGAAGCAGCAAATTTCAATTTCCTGAGTTGGCGAATAAATTTGTTGCTTCACCCACACACAGCAGCACTCGAACACACAAACACACACACGCACGTACGAATGCTGTGCCGTTATTTCCAAGAAACGAAAGGCAAACCAACAGCTTTTTTTACGAATTCATAGGATAATAAACCGAAAACAGAGCAAAAGGCACGCATGATCAATGGGGGGTAGAGAGAGAGAGAGAGAGCACAGAGAGATCAGATCCAGCTTGCCATGTGCTAGATAGCCGTCTCGCTCTAACGCTCGCCGCACCTTAACAAGTGCGAAGAAGCAGCGGCATAAAACAAAAGGAGCAACAGCAGCGGAATGGTGGGAACACGGAATGGAAACATATGCATTTTTTTCCTTTGAAAAACTGAAAATATCTTAACAAAACTCACCTTATCCAGGCACTTGAGCTCCTCGATGGGGTACACCACCTTCTGGCAACGCGCACAGGTTTTATTCATCTTCGATCCTCGCTCGCTCTGCTTCTTCTTGTACCACCTCTCTACTCTTTCTTCGGACGAGATCCAGCAACCGATTTGCGGGGCTGTGTATGTATAAGCACTTTTATTTACACCGAACTATGGGGCCACAGGACCGCTGGAAAACTCTCAAAATTTTGCACTGCTCTCTTTCACGTTTCTTCCACTCAACTTCCCCTCAATATTGCATTGTAGGGGGGTCTGATGGTAGCGGCGACGACGACGACGATTACAGGGGATAAAACAAGAAATGAAACAATTTTTTCGTGTTGAGGCTCAAGGCTCAAATCTGATTGATTGATAGAAACGAAAACTTTCGTAGCTATGACACTAGTCACAAATCACAAAATTTGTTCTGTTTCCCACAACTGGTTTCCTTTGTAAGCTACGCTTTTTCACACCTAAATCACTCGGCTTTTTCGTACTTTTTGCTTTTTATTTCGACGGCTGTTGAGACTGCGCTGCAGGTAAGCGACGCGCGCAGAGACGCACTTGTGTGTTTTGTTTTGTGGTTGTATTCACAGAAAATTCACGCGCGTCCGCTAAGTCGACCGGTCGGAAAAAAATTGGGCGGCAAATTGAAGTCCAGTGTGACCGTGGCGATAAGGATAAAAAATGCCATCCGGCCTAAAAATAAATACCATTTCAGTTTCGAGAAATACCATTTAAATACCATACCATTGACTTAGCCCACTTAACACCCCTCTATTTAAAAAGTTGAGCACCCTTTGTTAAACCGCGCAAAATAATACTGTTTGTGAAGGCTCATTGTAGCTCCATCCTCCTCTTTACTAACAAAACAAAAATGACCACCGACATCTTTCACCTTTAATGCGTAAAATATATTAAAGTTACATAAATTTCGTGGAAATATTAAATACCCTCTGGTACAATAAATATACTGTAAGAAATTTGGCTCGGAACAAGATCAAGACTCACTTTGCGTTGAAAGAATGAGTTTTGAGCTCTTTCGCAACATTCAGATATCGAAAATATAAAAATCGGTATTTTAGTGCCGAACTTATCGGCGTTTTATTTTGAAAATAAAATACGCTACCCGCATCGTATGTACGTTTGTATACCCATTACTATTAGTTAATGGGAAAATTAGATGTACCATGGTGGTTAGAACCTGATTTAGATACGTTTTCCCAGATTTGCTTGTTTTTCCAACATTTGGGTGCACACTTATCGATATCACAAAAGCACCCTAAACCACCCACCCTTCACCATCACCCTGCGGTGGTATCCTTTCAATCGAATTTTTTTGTGTGTGTCCATTTCGTCCTGCTTCCAGGGCGTAGGACTGACTAAATTTCGAATTAAACTTATTGATATTAAAGCAAATGTCTAGTTAATTGTGCCCGGGCGTGTGGAAATATCTCAACTAGTCGGCTTATCACCTGCACACCCGCGAGTGTTCGAAGACGAGTCTTTGTTCCGAGGAGTTTTGTGGCTAGACAGGAACATTTTTCAGTTAGTGGAATTTCTTCCCAATTATAAAATCCTGCCTACCATTATGTATGCCTCAAAGGACTTTAACGACGCCTTAAAGTAGGCAAAGTGGAAATATAAAACACGCACACAATTGAAAAATCAATAGTCTCATTGTGTGTTTGTGTTGGTTGTCCAAGAGGGAGGGGGAGGTTTGTACGTGTGCGTGTGTGTGTACTACGATTAAATGCCGGCGCGTAGTATCGACCGAGTGGCACAATAACAACAAAACGTGAGAGAGCGAGTATCGGACAAAGGATACGATTAACCAAGTGTAAACAAAGGCAAAAACAAAGAGTGACAGAGTGAGAGCTGTTCAGTTACGTTTGATAGAAACGTAACGAAGGGAAGAAGAAAATTAAACTTCCTCACCACCCCCCAACACCTTGGAAGGAGCAGGCCCAATCATCAGCATTAGACGTCTTCCGAATGCCAATCTGCTTTTTGTGAGCACCATGCAGACGCTGCGCAAGAAAACGAGTCCTTGTAAATGTAAGTAGACCCGAGTGTATAACTTTTAAATATGAAATGTGAATGATCATGAATGATGGGTTTGCTTGATCGTGCCTAGTCCCACTAGCAGCTGCTGCGCCGGCGTCTCTGATCTTGGCAGGTGCAAGGTGTGTTCAACTTAGGGTGCGGCACTGCCAGAGTGCGCTCTTTAAATACTTGCCAAACCAACATAGACATCTCAGGAGAGCGAGACTACCCCACCTTTTATAGCTACACCCTGGGCAGGTGGTGGCCGATGCTCAAAGCAAAAACAAAGAGAGCGTGCGAGTGACAATGAGAGACTGCGTACTTGTTTTCTTTTATCATTTTGAATGAGAATCGCTGAATAATAGAGTGAAATTTGTGTTTGTTTATTTGTTAAACAAATTGCGGCAAAAATCCAAAAGCAACGACAGCGGCAGCGAGAGAGAGCGAGCAAAATCAACCTAGCCGCAGCAGCATCGTACCGTACGAATGAACGGTGCGCTCTCTCAATCGCTCTCATTCATTCCATGATCACGGATCGTTTTCGGTAGCGGCGGGTGCTGTGCTCCTCTTTTGCCTCTGTGTGTGTGTCGTCATTATTTGTTGTCTCGTTTTTTTTTTTTTATATTGTTGTTTTTTTGAATTTAATTAATTTTATGGCAACAACAAACACGAAATCGCGAAAAATCATTGTGTGCACCCGTCCGTCTCGTTCTTGCCGCTCTCGATTGTGTGTGTGAGCCATGGAAATGTCACACACATTCACATGCACATGCAGGTTCTGGCTGAGAATGTGAGACTGTGTTAGTGTGCAATCAACGATTCCTTTAGGATTCGATCCAAAAAGATGGTCAAATCTCTGGTTGCCAAGCTGTCGACAGCCTCCTCGAACCTCTCTCTGGCCAGCACTTTTGGCGTCGGCAGCAGCCACAGCAGCGGCTCGACAGAGGAAACAAATTACGCAAAACGTTAGCAAAAAAAAAAGCAAACAAAAATCACAATCGCATACACACACACACACACACACACACGTGACTTATGCATGTATATGTTTGTGCGCATTCTATTTTCCAGATCGCAATGATCCGGGACGATTTTTCGGCGATGGCGTTCAATTCAAGGCCAAACTCATTGGAATACTGGAAGTGGGCGAGGCACGGGGCGATCGCATGTGCCAGGAGGCACTGCAGGACCTCAAGATGGCCATCCGTGCGGCTGGAGAGCACAAGCAGCGCATCACCATTCATGTGACGATCGATGGACTGCGGCTGCGGGACGAGAAGACGGGGGACTCGCTGTACCACCATCCGGTGCACAAGATCTCCTTCATTGCGCAGGACATGACGGATTCGCGAGCCTTTGGCTACATCTTTGGCTCGCCGGACAGCGGGCATCGATTCTTTGGCATCAAGACGGACAAGGCGGCCAGCCAGGTGGTGCTGGCCATGCGCGACCTCTTCCAGGTTGTCTTCGAGCTGAAGAAGAAGGAGATCGAGATGGCCCGCCAGCAGATCCAGGGCAAGTCTCTGCATGAGCACGCCAGTCAGCTGGCCTCCTTGTCCGCACTGAGAGCCGGAGCAGGGCATGCAGATCTCGCCAGTGGCGGCCACCCCCTCACCCTGAGTTCGCTGTGCGGGCAGGATGCCTACTCGAACGGAACCACGCGACTGGGCGTCAATCTGGATGTGGCCAAGACCTCGGGAGCAGCAGCCAAAGAAGTAAAAACTCCACATCTCCAAGATCTCTACTAATCTTTCTCTCTCTTGTAGATCTCTCCCGAATCTGTGGCGGATCTGGTGGATCTGGAGCAGGAGTTGACCTCCTTGCAGCGCGGCATCACCCAAATGGAGAGAATTACGCCTAGTGAGCCGGGCATGCATCATCCCTCCAGTGGCGGAGGCGGCAGCGGGCATCCCGGCAGCCTGGCCAAATCTGCCAGCGAGGACGATCCCTTCGGGGACTCTTTCATATGCGTGCCATCGTACAGCATATTGCCGCCGCCTCCTGAATCGGGACGCAACCGACACAAGCCCCAGAAGACACCCGAGTCCGCAGCCGCTCTGGATGCCATCCTCTCGCCTCCTGCTCCTGGGGCAAGCTCCTCCCCAGCTCCGGGCGTTGCCTGCCAGGCCTCTGGCGTCGACAACGACGATGACAGCTGGCTGCACGAGTTGGATCAGCAGAACGATGTCTTCGACACCACCAATGTGGTGGCCGCTGTCCTGTCGATGGCTCCACTGGCGGCCAGCGAATCAACGGCCACGCCCACGCAACAGTTGACGGAAATGTCGGCCGCCGCAGCAGCAGCCACAGCGTCCACATCTCTGGCGGATCTCGATATGGGAGGAGCACTGACGGGCATTGCGGGAACAGCTACAACAGAGGAGCCAGCAATCATGTCGCTGGGTGAGTCCCACAAAAGAGAGAGACAGAGAGCGAGGTGTGCCTTGCCTCTGCTTTGTTGTAGGATTTGTATGTCATCCCCATTGAAAGTTATGAAAGAGCTGTCTGTGAGGCACGATGGGAGTGGCTGCAAGGGGCAGCGTTGGCATGCCACAAAAGGGAACAGTCAGTAAAAATTCTAGGGTCAAATCAATTGAACTGAAACTTAATCTGAAGCGTTTCTCTTGCTTATAGATCATACAAATAGCCATCATTCGGAATTCTTTTTGCTAGCGAAACAATTTATAGACAAAAATGATCAAAATCTCTGTTTTAGGTTTTTCTTTGTTCGATTTTGTTGATTTATGTTCTTGAACATGTTATAGATGAGACTTTTCCCTTTTCACAAATGATATAAAGTTCTTGCTTCACCACTATCATCGCACAGGCAGCTCTTTCTGTGGCTTATATCCTTGTATCCACCCAGAACTAACCTTAAACCAAACTGCAAAATGGCCAAAAGAGGATTTCCCCGCTTTAAATTCTGTGATTTTTTCACTTTCGAATGAGTTCCGAGTTTTCATACATCTTTTGAGTTCTCTTTTGCTTTCAGCGCACACTTTTATTTGGTTTTGATAGCAATTTACATATTCTCTGGCACCGTAGATCCCTCTCCAAGATTATGATTTTTCTGCCACTCTTCCCCCACTCGCGGAGGAGTCTCGTTTCTCCCATCAATGGGGTGGGGAAATGCATTCTCTCGTGTCTGTATTCCATCCTTTCTCTGTGTTATTCCATTATGCTGCTGCTGCAGATGCATTCACGGATCTGGATCCGCTGGGCACCGGTCGCACCCGGCCGTATGTCGATAAGAAATACTTTTTCCAAGAGCTTAAGAATCCACCCAAGAAGCTGCTCAAGGAGCTCAGTGGTGCGGGTGCCGGCGGTTTGGGTTTGGACTCCGGCAGTCTCTTTTCCACGGAAGAGGAGACAGCATGTACGGGTGCGGGTGGTGCCATCACCACTACCATCGCTACCATGACCACCACCACAGCAGCAGCTACTAACATCACAGCAGGTACTAACCAACACCACCATCAACCACTAGCATCCACCACAGATCCACCGCACCACAGACAGAAACAGAAACAGTCACAGCAGCAACAGAATATCTCTAATCAATGCACTTGCACCGCCGCAGGGAATTCCGATCCGCTACTAACCACCGCCTCCAGTGCAGCCTCCAGTGGTCTTCTGGGCAGCCATCACCATCACCAACACCACCACCACCACCTGCTACTAACCAGCTCCAGCGCCGCTCCCGCTCCCACACCCACTCCTAACACCACTCCTGCTCCTGCTCCTGCCCCCGCTCCCGCTCCCGCACTCTCTTTTCCCATGTTATCCGCCAGCGCTGAAGACTTTTCGTCCGCGAAGCTGAAACTTTTGCTTAGAAGATCGCCCCTCACTAATCCACAACCACCACCCACTTATCCCCCCACATGTGGGTCCACCTATTATACCACAGAACCGCTGACATCCTCCATCAACGCGACGACGACAACGACGACACTGGAGGATCATCAGGATCCGGCGAATCCTGTGCTGCTGCCACGCGACACGGATCCCTTCTCGCCGACGCGCAAAAAGAGCGATCCGGATCCCTTCCAGGAGGGGGATCTCTTTGCCAAGCTGGATGCCTTCGAGTTCGATGCACCTACTCCGCTGCCAGTGGCTGCCGCAATCCCAGTACCCGAAACCAGGACCAGCGCTTTTAATGGACCGCTTCAGGTGCAGCTGCCTCCGGAGAAAGGGGAGCAGGTGAGCACCGTGAGGAATCGTCCCACTGTCTCTGCCTCCTCGCTGCCCAATCCTCTTGGCGGCGGCGGAGGAGGAGGAGGCCCCCTGGATGTCATCTCCAGCATCAGCAACAAGAAGATGCCGCATCTGTTTGGCCAGGCGAGGGGTTTCTCAAAGCGCGGCGACTCCTCCTCCTCGGAGATCGGTTCCAGCGTCAATATGCGCCGCCTGCAGGAGAGCGATTCCCTGAGCGAAACGGAGGCTGCCCCAGAGCCACCGCCTCGACCGGATTCGGCTCCCTGCTCTGGGCCACCGCCTCTGCCGCCCAAGAAACAGTTCAGCGATCTGGTGATTCGGCCCAGTCCCGCTCCACCGACTGCCGGTCGGTATGAGTATCTGAACAGCAGTTCCTCCTCCACGCGACGCACCCTGTCGCACTCGCTGGCGGATTCACCGCCGATTCCATTGCCCTCGCGTCGCGTGGGACGCACTGAAGCCTGCTTCCCGGGTCCCGGGCGTCCACGGAAGCCCCATCAGCCGGAGGATGATTATATGATACCGCTGGGACCGCCACCGCCACTGCTGCCGCCACCGAATCAGGTGTCATCATCATTATCATCATCCACGGCCAGGGCGCGACCCCAGCGGCAGCAATCGCTGGGCAGGCCACAGGACATTTACGAGAACAAGGCGGAGATCCTGGCACAGGCCGCATCCCAGGAGGTATCGGTGGCCCCTGCTCTTCCGCCGGACATTACGCTGACGCAGTTGCTCACTTTGGGAATGGATGATCTGGCCGTGAAGCTGAATGTTCCCGCCTCGAAGCTGAGCACAATGACCCTGGTGCAGCTGACGTCCTACCTATCGGAGTACTTGTCCTCCAGCGAGAAGACCAGCCAGTCCCTGGCTCCCCCCACTGCTGCAGCTCCTGTCGCGCCACCACCAGCCACAGTGCCGGCCGCCTCCTCCTCTGCGGCTGTCTTCAAGGTGAGCTTTGATCAGCAAACGTCCTTTGTGGCCTCCTTTGACGACACCTTTGGCGAGGACGAAGCAACGACCGGGGTGGCCTCGCCGCCCGAAGAGGCGCCCATTTTTGTGGCCAACTTTGCTAACTTCAATGAGGCACCGATCCCTGCGGCTGTGGCAGCGCCGGTGGCTGTGCCCTCGGCGGATCGCTATGCGGTCTTTCGCGAGATCATCGACCAGGAGCTGCAGCAGCAGCAGCAGGAAACGGATCTCATGGGGGATCTCACCCCACCCCCCGTCGACGAGCAGGAGACGGCACAAGAGCCCTCGCTGGTATTGGAGGCTCGCACGGAGCTGCCACTGATCGATTCCATTGTGACGAGCAGTGCGCCTCCGTCTGCCCCGCCCCCGCCTCTGCCAAAGATCGACACGAAGATCACCGAAGTGGTGGCCCAGGCCAAGGATCGCTATGCGGCCCTCCGGGACATTATTCTGGTGGAGAATCTCTTCGACAAGCCGCAGACGCAGTCGCAGGCTGCACGGCCGCCGCCGCCGGAGAAGGATCTGCTGCAGGACTTTCCGGAATTCAGCGACGAATTCAACGAGGATCAGGACCTGCGGCAGATCATGGACCTACCGCTGGCCGAGCAGCAGCATCCGCAGGATCGTCATGGCCTTGTGGACAGTCGCGGCTTCCCCGCCGAGCCCTCATCCTCTGCCCTGACCGTGGACGATGATGACGAGGACGAGGATGCCGATGCGGGGGGAGAGAGCAGCATGGACAGCAACGAAAAGGATGGGGAGCCGGTAAGCGGGCAGGATAAGTACGAGAAGTTGTCCACCTCCACACAGCAGCTGGATGCAGTGGTGCCTGCCTCCCTCCTGGAGGAGGAGTCATCCTCCATTCCGCTGCCCCTCGCACCCAAGCAGGATCATAAGTTCCTGTCTGTGCTGACGGCTCCCCCAGTTGCCAGTGGGAGTGGCAGTGCCAAGGATGACATCGAAATCGATGAACTGATGCATCGAGCCATCTCCAATCTGTCGCTGGACTCGCGGGATCGCATCTCGCCGGCCACCTCGTCGGCGGCACCCTCCCGAGGCGCACAGAGTCTGGGCGTGCGCACGCCCTCGCAGCAGTTCAACGATGTCAGCACATCGCCCATTCCTCTGCAGAAATCGCCTGCGGTGCTGCAGCCCTCGCCCGTGCCGTCGCATCTGTCGGCCGTCTCTCAGCTGATAGACACCGCCACCAAGCAGATGATGAGCGAACGCGAAAGGGAGAAACAATCATGGGCCACCTTTGATTCGCCCAAGGCCAAGGGCAAGGCCCGTCTCACGCTGCCACCGCCGCCGCCGCCTGCGTCCAATACCTCGCAGCAGGACACTGCAGAGTCGCCGTGCAGTTCGGATCCCCGCGATGATGGCTGGTCGAAGCAGCAGCGTCGTTGGGCCAAAAAGGAGCGCCATCAGACTTCGTCCTCGTCCAGGGATCTGAGTCCGTGGGATGACGAGACACCAGAGTATCTGAAGAGACGGCAAATGGCACATGCACAGCCACAGCCACAGCACACGGATCGCCATGGCTACTATATGCGGCATGCCCGAAGAATGAACTCATGCGATGAGGATTACGAGTGAGTGCGCGATGGGACCTTTCCCGTTGAGATTAGGCATTGACTCTTCTTCTTTTCTTCGTGACAGCTACGATGCAGAGTTGATGGCTCGAAGGGAGCGAGAGCAACAGCAAAGGAAGTTCAAGCATGGCCTCTCGCGGAGTAGGGATAACTTTGATTTGGGTGAGTCTGCCTGCCTCTGTGTAAATCATCTTCCTTCCATCTTCTACTATATGATGTATTCCATCTCCTCTTTCTGTATAGATTCGCCCAGTTGGTATCATCATCCCACACATCACACCTGGTCGCCGCAGGAAATCGAACAGGGAGTGCGTGCCCGCTCGTTTGAGCGCAGTGCCTACGAGCGGTCCAGCTACGGGCCGCCCATGTACGCGGACAAGCGGGGCGGACAGCAGCAGCAGCTGCGCAGCAAGTATCGCGGGGAGCGAGAGCGGGATCGCGATCGAGAGCGTGAGAGGGAGCGCGAGTACAGGGATTATGCGCGTCCCAGCTACGATTTTGACTACGAGAATGTGTACGAGGAGCAGCGCGGTGGACGCTCGCCCATGGCCTACAAATCGAGCGGCAGAGGTGCAGGAGGAGGCGATTACATGTACGAAAGGGAGAGGGAACGGGACAGGGATCGCAAGTCCTTCGATCGCGAGAGCCTGGAGTCCTTTGAGAGCGCCACGCGGCGCAGACGGAGCTTTGGCAGCGGCAACGATGTCTATGGCAGCCTCGACAGTCGCGACGAGTATCGTGGCGGTGTGGACCGAGAGCGCGACAGGGGTGAGCGCGAGCGGGAGCAAATGAAGACGCGATCCCTGAGGAAACCCACCACCACCTCGGGAAAGCTGCGCATCAGCGGTGACATTGACTACGAGCAGGATTCGGAGCAGGACTTCCAGCAGCGTGCATCGGTGAGGAGTCTGCAGCGTCCCAGTCAGCTGGGTGGCGATGTGGTGCTGCCTATCGGAGGAGGAGGCGGCATCGGCGGTTCCCAGCGACTGCGCAAGAGCAGTGGCTCCAGTCCCTGGGATGGCGAGGGTAAGTCCTGCCCTAAAGCTTGCATGGATCTGAGATCTTTCATGAGTTTTATTTCCCTTTTGCAGAACCCGCTTTGCCTGGCCAAAAGTCCTGGAAGCGTCCTGCCAGTGCTGCCGAAACAGAGCGACGTCTGGCAGAGAGTCGTCGGGCCGTGGCCTTGGGACAGACGCCCTCAGATGGGGAAAAGGAAAGAAGGTAACAAGACAGAGAGAGTGAAACTGAAGCAACCCCTTACGACACTCTCCATCTCTCCCGTTTAGATTCCGCAAGAAAACTCGAGCACGCAGTGCCAAAGACTTGGCCACTGTTGGGGGCCTTGGCTCTGGCTCGTCCTCCATTGTGAATCCTCCACCCCCACGCTATGTGGGCGGCAGTGGGCGTGGCATGCGGGATAACTACGATTATATGAGCAGCCATCAGCTGCAACAGCAGCAGCAGCAACGCAAAGATGTGGATGTGGACGATGACGATGTGGCCGACGACGATGACGATGATGAGGATTATGTGGATGATGAGCCGCCCACGGATGAGGACAAGTTCGAGCGACTGAATCGCAGGCGCCACGAGATGCACCAGCGGATGCTGGAGAGCGAGCGCCGTCAAATGGAGCGACATCCGACGCTGTCGAAGCTACAGTCAACGCAGAATCGTTCCCGCGGAGCAGGAGGAGTGCCACCGGTGATCAACAGTGACTATGGCTTTGTGGATAGCTACGAGCAGACGCCCACACCGACGCCCCGATCGAATGCCAGCAGCACGGTCGCCGGAATGATGAGCGGCGGCATGATGGGCAGCGGCGGGGAGTCCTCGGCAGGCGTCGCCGGTGGCAAATTCAACTTTGACGATGGCTTCGAATCGGACTTCAATCAGAGCTCTCCACCGCCAGCGCCCGCTGGCACTGCCTCCAGCTGCAATTCGACGCCCGCGGGCCCCATCTCGGGTGGAAGTGTGGCCAGCGGCGGCTCCAAGTCTCTGTTTCGCTTCTCCAATGACTTTTCGGAGAAGGGCGGTGACAAACGGGAGCACTTTGAGATGGATCCGCTGCCGACATCAACGCCACCCATAACCCAGAAGCTGCGATTCGATGATAATGTGAAGATCTCGCAGTTTGATGACGCCGCCTTTGAGGATGATTTTGCCAAGGCTTCGTTTGACTTTGAAAAGGAGCAGACGAGTGCCGGCGGAGGCGCCACAGCGTCTGGCGGATCTGTTGCTTTGACTAGAAAACAAAATATGCGCACCACAAAAATGCAGCAGCGCCAGGAGCTCATCAAGAAATCGGAATCTGTTAATATATTTGCCAAAAAGCAGGAGGATCCCTTCGAGGATGATGAGTTTTTCAAGTCACCCGATCAGGATCAGGATCAGCAAAAGGACAATGATGGAGGAGAGGCCGCAGCCACAGCAAACAATAAATTCCAGTGGAACGAGGATGAGAACTTTGCGAAATTCGATGAAAATATGTGATTTGATCAACTCTTTGCCCAGGCCACGGGCCCGACGATGGGACCCGGCTTGGGTCTGGGGCTGGGACTTGGCGTGAGCCAGGAGCGGACACGAGAGCCAGAACGGGACAGCATCGATGGGCACAACTATGCAGAGATCGATGTGGTCAATGACTCGGACTTTTGCTACCTAACGAATCTCAATAATTACTACCAGGAGCAGCGACTCAATGCGCTACGTCAGGGCATGCCTTCGTTGCCGCAAATGAAGACGACAGCCACATCGACGAGTCCCTGGCATGAGCCAAAGGAGGATGCGCCCAAGAGCAAGCCCACGCCTTTGCAAATGCTAAGGAATCCCAAAAAGTGGAGGGTAACCCGTGCCGTGGATGATATTGTAAAGGTGATGATCATTGCCTCCTCGGAGCATGTCCTCGACTACGATGTGCTGTGGTAGGGGGAGTAGTAGGACACACACATACACACACACACATGCTATATATCTAGTCAAAACTCCCAATTGCCATACAAAAAAAAAATATTTTAATATCGTAAAAGCCTCTCCCTTCGCCCTGTGGACACTGTGCTTTGAGGCTCTCTTTTCGGTCCCCCACACCCTTCCAACCGCAGAGATTGTATATAAGAAACGCAAACGTTTGTTAAAGTTACTTCCCCAAACCCCCCCTCCCTGCAACAAATCGCAGAATACTCAGAGAAGGTCCTTCAATCATCAATCGATCCATGAATCACTGAATCCATGGATTTACTAACGAAAAGCAACTAAACAAATGCCTATGCTAAATGTGGTCTAGCCGTTAAACGTTTAACTACCCCGCCCCCCTCTACCCATAAAATGTTTATCCAAAGTGCATATAGGATATAGAAATACGATCCTACACATCATACTCGTCTAACCATACTTCGTATGATTCGATTTAGTTAACTAACTAACTAACTAACGACTAATATTAGTTTAATTTCCACTCGTATTGACACATCAGAGAAGGGTTTTATATGATTTCAATAACTATCATATATATATATATATTTATACGTAACTGAACGAACAACTGACAACAAACTGAACGATCAAGCAAATCCGAACCCCCAGGAAACCCAAAGCAGCTATATCGTACGTATTCTTATACTAAATAATGATTAATAATAATACATACTTATATGTAATGCAATTATACAAATACAATAGTTATTATGATTATTAGCGACATCTCTATTGTTCATTTATCTATTGAATTGGTGCGACACCAAACCGAAGCTTGTTACCCGCAGTTAGCAGGGGAGAAACACAACAACCGACCGAGGTGCGCTGCTGTATGACAATTGAAATAACCGAAATACGTCACGAACATGCACTAGAGTTATAAGCATTAAAGGGGAAGCTGTATTTCCAAACGGAAGATATCTTTCTAATTGCGTCCTTTGCTTTTTACACTTATTCAAAAAGTTCTAGTCTGGAGATCCTTTGGGTGTAAATAAAAGATAGTTGTTCCTCTGTTCTAGTACTCTCGTTTGTACATATTTATAGAAGCTTTGGACAGATTCACAAAGCTGTCAGAACGTACAGAAATCGTTGAGTTCTCTTCAGAATTATATAGTTTGGAGATTCTTTTCTAACGAATGAAGTTGACCAATGACCAATCTCATTATCTTCCCACTTTTCACGCCAAATCTTTGTTCACCCACAAACCCCCAATATCTGTGCAAATCTACAGCCGAATGTCGTAACACAACGCATATAGCCATATCGGATCGTATGCAAATTATGTTGCTGCTTTGCCAGGGCATGCATGTAATTTTGGGCCCATTTTCGTAGCCAAATGTGTGACAATTTGGAGCGGCAATTAGCCAGCTCTCCGGTCTCCTCCTCCTCTGCGTGAAGCTCTGGCCAACTATAAAACTCAGCCATCGATTGAATCCCAGGCATAATTCAGCTCGCGGTCTCAGACGCAGAAGAAGCAAATCGCAGAAATAACTCCCGCAAAATGCAGCAAATGGTGAGTGGAATTTTGTATGCGGCATCCCAATTCCTGGCCAGAAGTTTAAGGATTCTCTGCCTCAACAGTTGGTGATTCTGTCGCTGGGTTTAATGGTGGCCTGTACGGGCGCAATGCCAGCCGTGGGTCCTGCCCTGTTTCCCGCGGCACCTGGCGCCGCTCCGTTTGGCGTATTTCCTGGATCTGCGGCTGCTGCTCCATTTGCTGCCTACACAAATGGACAGTTTGGTGTTCCTTTTGGTGTCGCTGGTGTACCCTTTGGAGCCGCTGCATTTCCTGGGGCTCCGTTTGGTGCTGCTGCTCCTTTGGTTAATGCTCCGCTGGGCGCTGCTCCTCTGGCTGTCTCTAGCAGTCAGCGTTTGGATTACTTCAATCAGTTCAATGCCGCCTTTGGTCCGCCTGCTGCCGGACGTTTGCTGGCCGCTGGTCCAGCTGGAATTGCTGCTCCATTTGCAGCTACACGACTGATCCAGCCGGCACGTTTGATTGCTCCAGGTTCATTCTTCTTTTAAGCTGCGAAAACACAATTTAATTTCATAGATTTCACTCGTAAGAAATAAAACTAAAAAATGGTTAACCACATTCCAAAATGGTGTCAAGAGCAGGCCAACGTTTGGCCTTGGTTTCTGGGTTTTCTGACTTTCTGGCCCTTGGCCAATAGTACAGTCGTCACTCGTTTGGGTTGGTAATACATGCGTTATTTATTTTCATTATAATACGTTGATTTGGTGTCGAATATTATCACAAAATAGAATGATGTTTGCTGCTGCCGTACTGATCACCAGACACTCTTGTAGCCATGGCCATAATTGTAGTAGGGATTATAGCCATAGCCATAGGGATATGTCGAAGGATACACAGCGGGATAGCCTGAAGGATAGACAGCAGGGTACGCGGAAGGATACGCTGGATAGCCACCACTGTACTTGTAGTAGGTTGTGGCTGGTGGATGATACGTGGCCACACCAGTGGCTGTTGTTGTTGGAACATAGAAGCGATTCCAATTGCGTGCCACAAACTGATAACTGGTGGGTGGTGGCACCAATGCAGCGGGTGCCACTGCAGCGGGAACCCCTAGGGTAGTGGCAGGCAGAAAGCTGGCCTCGGAGAGAGCAGCACATCCCACCAGCAGATACCCCAAAATGGATAGAAATTGCTGGCAGAGAATAAATACGAATTGATGGTTGATCTTTGCTTGATATTATGCCAACTTACGATCTTCATTGTGTGTGTTTGAGATGCGGGGTACTGCCTGGGCCACTCGATCGCTGGACACTGTCCACTCGTGCCGCCACCAAGTGGCTTTTATACCCCGCACTGCAAACTGCAACGCTCGTTGGAATTGCATTTCAAATGCAGTTGCCCTTTTAGGGGATTTGAATGCCATGTTTGGGCCACCAACCACCCACCAATCGACCAATCGACCGTCCAAGGGCAGATTTGTAATGCAAAAAAAAACCTCCGGTTATAGATTGGCTCTGGAAGGGGATGAGATGACGCAAGCGGAATCCACATGAAGACAAAGGCTGCTGCTGCTTCTGCATTTTGCGAATCCATTGAAGGCAAAGCAAAGCAGCAGCTGAACCAACAAAAGGGAATCTGTTGGGCAGGTGCTACTAGGAGTATATATAGAGCAACGATTCTTACTGGCATTTATCAATGAAGAAGCAGCCATGAAGCTCCCACTCCTTCTTCTGCTTTCGTTCGCTGGCCTTGCCCTTGCTCAGATTGTTCCTAGGCAATCCTGGTGCCGACAGCCACTGTCCCCTCGCCTGCCACGTCTTGCGGTGCCCGTGCGCCTGATCATCATCCATCATACGGCCAGTGCGCCCTGCTATACGCCCCAGCAATGCCAGACGGCACTACAGCAGATCCGCATGGGGCATCTGCTGAGAAGGTTCCGCGACATTGGCTATAATTTCCTGATTGGCGGCGATGGACGCATCTACGAGGGCCTGGGCTTTGGCATTCGTGGAGAGCATGCACCGCACTACAACAGCCAGTCGATTGGTGTGGCTTTCATTGGGAATTTCCAGCGTACGATGGGATCTTCTAGCCTTCGAATCACTTTCTGACACCTTCTTCTGCTTCCTTTAGATACGCTTCCCTCGCCGCAGATGTTGCAGGCAGCCCGCACCCTCATCACAATTGCTGTCCAGCGGCGACAGGTTCTGCCCAATTATTCCCTTGTGGGGCACTGCCAGACGAAGGCCACAGCCTGTCCGGGACGCCAGCTGCTGGACGAACTGCGCAAGTGGCCGCGCTGGCAGCCAAAGCCATAGAATCGGTAGAGCTTTGAATGCCTCTCTTTGTACATAAATTTATTCTAGCAGCAAACTAATAAAGAATTAACGAGAAAGTCTCCACTTAAATGCTCCTCCAGTTGGGCCAGGTCTTGATCTCATTGAAGAGAGCTGTGCCCGGGCAGGCGGTGGCCTTGGTCTGGCGATGTCCCAGCAGCGTGTAGGTGTCCTTTAGGTGTCCCCCCTGCTTGGCCATGGCAATCAGATCCTTGGCATTCTGCAGCATCTGCGAGGATGGCTTGGTGCTCTCAAAGTTTCCAATAAACACAATGCCAATGCTGTTGCGATTGTAGTTGGGCGCATGGGAGCCCTGCAGGCCAAAGCCGCGGCCCTCGTACACCTTCCCATCGCCGGCGACAATGAAATTGTAGCCAATGTCGCTGAACTTGCGCCTGCCCTTGTGGTCCGTTTGTATGGCCTTGATCATCCGTTTGCACTGATCCGAACTGCTGCAGCCATTGGGATTGTCCGAGTGATGTATGATCACATAATCCACGGCGCCACTTATCCTGGCTGGCGAACGGGCAGCCACTGCGCCCCAACTGCTGCGCGGCTCAATGTTCAGGGCCTCAGCGGAGAGAGCTGAGAGGGATTGTCAGGAGGTTATCTTTAAGCACAGATTGATTGATGGTTTACCTATGGCACTGAGTGCCAGCAAAGCTGCTAGAAACTTGATTGCCGTCATCGTTGAGCGCTGCTTGCTTGAGACCTTTCGTTAAACTGTGAGATCTTCTGGCACTGGAGAGCTGCTTAAATAGTATATTCGTGGATTGATAGCGAGTCGTAGATGGAGATACACTCACTGCAGGGGGAAATATATTAGATTTCCATTTGAATGAAGCGTCTTTACAATGTGTACAAGTCCAAGACAACTCGTGCCTTGAATTAGTGTGGTTTGAGTTTAATTTAATGGAATTTTGGTTTTTACTTTTTAGTTCTCACTTTTAGTAATGGATTTTTGTTTTCTGCTTTTTCCAGCCATTAAAAAATCTTTGTATAGATTCTGCTCTTAATTCCCATCTTAGTTGCAATTCAAAGCCTTTTGATAGTCGTAGTTATACCCTCAAGTGAGAGTAAACCAACAAACAACACGGTGAAGAACCCTCGGGGGAATCACTAGCGCACCCGAAAGAGATAAGACACTGCTCTCTAGGGCAGAAAACAAAAAGCCCACACATATGTACATACATAAGCACATAGTATATATTAGTTATATATATTAACCTATATACACAATCATTTCTAAATTAAATCAGCAAACAATCTTTACTCCTCGATGGCCTTTCGCTGCTTGGCCAAACGTTGCTTCTTGGTCTCCTTGGGTTTGGGCTTTGATTTTCCTTTGCCATTTGCCGCTTTAGCTTGCGATTTGTTCTCCTTCTGCTGGGGTTTATCCTCCAGCTGTCCCACTCCTCCTGCCTTCAGCTGCAGCTTCTGCATCAATGTCAGAGGGCGACTGGGATTGGCGGCGGCTTCCTCTTGATTTTTGTGTAGCACTGTTCGCTGGGCCACGCGTCGCTTCTGGACAATCTTCTGGGTCTTTTCCTTCTCCTGTCGCCTGCGCAGCTGCTCCATTGCCTTCTTGTAGATATCCGCATGACGGACCTCAGTGTCTGCCGACACAGTGATCTCCTCGCCCAGGGCTTTGCCCACTTCGTTGAGCATCTTCTTGAACTGCGCCTGCTCCTGTTCCGTGAGCAATGTGACGGCTGTGCCCTTCCTTCCAGCACGAGCCGTACGACCCACACGATGGATGTAGGTCTTGATGTGACGCGGCGTCTCGTAGGAGAGCACCACATCCACATCGGCCACATCGATACCACGCGCCAAAGCATCGGAGCAGATCAGACCATTGATGCGGCCCCTGGCAAAGTCCGTCAGGGTTTTGGTGCGCACCAGAGCCGACAGTTTGCCGGATAGCTCGGCCACCTTGATTGGCCCCGAGGAGAAAAGTTGGCGCATCACAAAGGCCAATCTATTGGCCGTGTCCGTGCTGTTGGTGAAGCACAAGAAACGCTTCCACTGGTACTTCTCCACGAGCGCAAACAGTGTCAGCGGCTTGATTCGCAGCTCCGTCACACAGAATTGCTCCGTTAGCTCCGCCGGAGTCGTGTATTTGCCCGCAAAGTGTCCAGTGTTTTGAGTCGTCTCTGAATCAGCATCCACCTGCTCCTCACTCCTTGGCACGGGCAGGGCAAACACCGTGGTAAAGAGCTTGGGCTGAAAGAGTCTCAGATTCTGCAGCTTCTCGGGATCCTGCGACATCGTTGCAGAGAATAGAAGCTTATGGGGCACCTTCCCATACGTGGCGTGCAGTTCTTTTAGGCAAAGTGGAGGCTGAGTGCCAGCCAGCAGCTGATTTGTAGTCTCCCGCACATGATTGTCCAAATGGTAGAGCCAGTTCTGGAAGAAGGCATCCATGATGCGATCCGCCTCGTCAATGACCAGAAATTTCAAGCTCTTCAGGCAAAAGCCCTTGGTGGCATGCAGATGATCCACCAGACGACCTAAAAACCAAGACCAACCAAGATTAATCATCAAAGATGCTCCAAGGATAACTGTATGCCCCACCCACCTGGTGTTGTGACCACAATGTCAGCCTTGCTGTACATCTGTCCCTTGTACACCTCCACCAGCTTCTCTTGCTCATCCTCCAGGCGATGCTGCTTGGACAGGAGGCAGACCTCCAGCTCTGTTTTGCTGCACAGCGCACGAATCACCTTGAAGACCTGCAGCGCCAGTTCGGCCACTGGGAGCACCACCAGGGCGCGCACCTTGCAGCGCACTCGATTGTTCAGCAGCTGGACAATGGGTATGGCAAAGGCCAGGGTCTTGCCGCTGCCCGTGGGTGCCGACACACAAATGTCACGTGGGCGTAGGGGCGCCGGCTTGCCCTGTGCCTCCAGGATCCATGGTATGACGGTACGCTGCACGGGAAACAGCCGCTTGATCTTCATCTGCTTGAGCGCCTGTCGTGTGTGATCTTTCAGGTAGCTTAGATTCTCGATGGACGTCTCGTCTTTGCCAGCTTCCAAGTCGTCGTCGTCGTCTGGCAGGAGGTTGCCCCCTTCGATAATGGTGGGATATGCCAGCCAGGGGGGCAGCACCTCTGTCACTCGCTTGCGCTTGGCAGAGTCATCGCCGCCAAGTATTTGGAAATCTTGTGAATTAGTTGCGTCCTCCTCTGCTGCGGCTGTCTCTTTTGGGGTTTCTTTTGCCGCCTTTTCCTCTTCTTCGTCTACTTTTGTGTCCTCCACTGTGGGTTTCTCCGCTGGTGGTGCTTCCTGCTGCTTTGTGGTTTCACTTTTCTCGTGTTTCCTCTTTCGTTTGGCTGCCTTTAGTAGCAGTTTTTGCAGAATTTCATCTTCATTTGATGTCTTTTGCTCCTTGTCCTTCGGACTCTTTAGATCCTCTGTGTATCTACGGTTTTGTGGGTTAATATTAAAGATCTATATCTTCGCTATATAACTCACCGATTTACTGTAAATAATTCCATTGTTTTAGCTGTTTTTTATTCAATAAATCGTCGAAAAAGAAGGCGCACGTGTTGCACCCCACATTTGTTGATGTTCTTCTTCTGAAATGGTGTGCCCGTTTGTGTAGCAGAGGGAAATGCCATAAGGCCTGGCGTTGCCACTCATTTGGTTTTACAGTTCAAAAGGCGCCAAATTTAAAGTGCCAGATATTGCCCATAAGTAGTATGACCATTTGCGTACTGTAGCAAAAACACCAAAGAGAATCTTGTTGCCACTCTTCTAAACTAACTACAGCAAGCGCGCCTAATTCAAATTCAAAGTAACTTACATTAAGCTTAGTATAGAATAATTAAAAATATTCCTCTGACCGCAAGATCAAATAAATCAAGAACGGAAATAGTCACAATACTAATTCATATACCAGTTTCCTGGCGGGGATTTGTATTTTCCCTTGGTTTTTTGATCAGGTTTCGGTTACCAGTCCAACGATGCGTTGATGCGTGCGTTTGCAAAGTGTCCCCACAACTTCTTGGGGATTTTTACACTTGATGTCAGTGATTCATAAAATTGACCCACTCCAATCCACGTGAGCGAGAAATGCAAAAAATTAAACCACACGGATAATTAATGACTATGGTCAAAAAACCGGTTCAATCAATCTGCTAGAAAACACCAAAACTTGTGGCTGTACGAAATCTGAATCATGCAAATGAAGTGAAAGATATTATGAGAATCGTTTGACAACCAGAGTCTGTCTGTCTTTGAGAGTTTTAATTATTTTCCAAAGCATTTCCGTCTGTAAATTTGTATTTTTACTCTCAAAATGTAGTAATTAATCATACAGTACGTATAGCTTTCAGTGCGGTCCAGTTCTGATCGGTTTGTTGGTAGCAGCAAGTAGCACCTGAACACCTGGGATAGTGACACTCCCTCGTAACGCTGGAACGTATGGGTACACGAGTATATATATATAGTATATACGACTTTCCGTTCCATTCGCATCGGATCATTTCAGTCCCGCGTTCTTTCGTTTAGCACATATTTGGCTTAAAAAATCATAAACGTTGAACTTGATCCGGGCCATTATCGTACGAAACGATTGCGGATATGAAAAATGGTTATTGTAAGGCAAAAGAGTCATTGTTCCATTCTTTTGGGGGCATTCCCCAAGATTCAAAACGAGTTTTTTTTTATATTTATATATTTTTGGTGGCTTTCGCTTCTGATGGCAGATCCAATCAAAGTTGGTTCATGTAACTGACGTTTTTAGATTGAAAGTTCTGTCTGCTTGCTATCTACGATCTAATTATACTACATATATGATTTCTATCGATTCTTTCTTTCCCTTGGCGGAACTCTCTCCTTATCATTGTTCTGGGAAAGACAGTCGGCGGCCTATCTTGTTGTTTTGTACTTCCACTTGTGTTTAAACAGACATCGATTGTTCAAATCTAATTGAAAAAAGTCTTGAAAGAAAGTATGTACTCGTAACAGTGGAATAGTACCTCCTATACCTATACATATACGATTTTTTATTAGTTTACGGTTTAAGCGTGCCTTTTGTTGCCATATTTAATGGCTTATTTGGCATAATAGGTATTGGGTTTATAATTTATGATTATCCAGCGGGTTGGGTTGATTGCTGCAAAAATTTGAATACGTTTTGCCAAGAAATGATTCCCAATGCGTGATGTTCAGCGTCATAAGAGGGGGAATTCTTCTTGCTGTAAAAAGTTCCAACTGTCGTTCGTACGTAACCGGTAAAAGCCAAAACCGAAAGCAAAAGCAAGCAAAACAGAGATCTTAATAACGCCAAGGTATATTTCAGGTGAGGTGAGCCATCGAATTTGAGTGCTCTAACGATAAAAGATCATCTGCAGCAGCCGCCTGATTCGGTTAGATTAAAGAAATACAGATGGATATCTTATGACTAGGATGGATAGAAGAAGGTAACGTTGTCTATACTAAATAATAATTACAGATCTTATCCATAGGTTTGATATTTATGACGTTCCCTAGGAATATGATGGTCTCCATTTATGTATGACTGCGTTTCCAGCTGCATTCCTCACCCCACCTTAAAACACCTTGATCCCAACACCTGCTAAGCTTCTCCAAGAGACAGAAATAGAATGGGGGAAAGATGCAGAGTGGGAGAGTAAGAACTCGTCTATGACTGGAGCGAACGCTGACGTTGACGCCGCCGCTCGGACAGCCAGCCGCTGCTGCTGCTGCCTCGAAACCGCTCCGAAGCGCTTTATAACGCTAGGACTTAAAACGGCCAGTGTTCATTTGACAACGTTTCGCGATCGAAAACGCTCGCGAAAAAACACGCACAAGCACGCGCGAAAAGTTTGAAACGCAACGAAAAAGTTTAAGGCAGTTAAAAACGCCCAAAAGTTTTCGTACAACAAAAAAAAGCCTAGTTTCGTGTTTCTAAGGGTCTAAGAAAAAATGTTTAAAATTATATTACCTGCAGTTCTGTTAATTGCCTCGTAAGTGTACAATAAAAGAATGGAAAAACTCAACGAACCACAAAAATAAAAGTCGCTTCAAATATCAGACAAAAGCAGCTCAAGAAACGCCCAAAATGTGAAGCTACAATAAAAACAATAGTTAAATTAGATAAATATAGTTCTAAAAATGAAGTAAAACCTTGCATAAAATTTAAATAAAAGTCAAACAAACAAGCGACAGAAACAAACGTAAAACCAGAGAAAACTAGTGACAAAAAACAGCTACAGAAACGCATGAAATAACAGACAAAAACAAGCGACAAAAACAGCTAGCAGACAAAAACTAGCGACAAAAACAGCTACATATTGAAGTGCCTTGAGCTGCCAAAAACCCCCAAAACTTTTGCGCCAAGAAAGGCCTGAAATTGGATTAATTTTGGAAAGACCTTGGCCAGATCAATCGATCGATCAGTAATTGTTGTAGATATCACTAGATCATACGTAAAAATGCAAACAAAATGAACAAAAATTATCGTAATATTTGTCAAAGTTTTGAATGTCATTTGATTAGCGAGAGATTTTGCGAGGGTATAAGATAATTAAACAATATAATATTGATTAACACATTGGCGCATCTTTTTTTCAGATGTCTGGGGAGTCCGGTGAGCAATAATCGACGCTTCCCCAATGACTTTCTCTGGGGCGTTGGCTCCTCCTCGTACCAGATCGAGGGTGGATGGAATGCGGATGATAAAGGTGAATCCATTTGGGACTTTCTCACCCACACACATCCCGAGAAGATAGTGGATGGTTCAAATGCTGATATCACTGCGGACAGCTATCATCAGGTAAGCAGACAGCAGACATAGCCAGAGCCAGACCCAATCCCCAATCGAGTGGAATCAATATTTGAGTGGAAGTTATGCAAAGAGTTCAAGATCTCTCCACTGAACAAGCAAACAGACAGACAGACAGTCGGTGCAAGTCAGTCGCTGAGGTAATCGCGTGGAAAATATATGATCACATTGCAATTGATGCACTTTGATGTCGGTTCCGATGTTAGGTTGTATGGCAAATTACATGGTGAGCTGCGCTCCAGGCGAAGAGGAGTGATAAATCCAGAGGCTAATTGTGAACATAAAAATCTATTAAGCATCCATCTCTAGGACCGATCCTTCTCTGACTGAAGTCTAAGAACGCTCCAAGAGATCTTCTTCGATCTCTAGCCTCTGCCCCCAATAACTTTTAAAGCCAAGATCATTTACCAATTATGTTTTAATGGCATGACTTGAAGCAATTACAGTATAAATATTAATCACATTAACAGTCATTACGAATATACTACGAATGCGAATACGATTAATAGTAGAAGTGCGGGGCGTAATGCGTACAAGTGTGGACATGCTATGCCGCCACTGGCATCCAAAGTAGCCTCCAATTGCAAACTAATTTGCATAGTGCAGGCCACAAATCGTTGAGCAGAGACTTCTATAAATCATGAATGATCATGATAATGGTTGGTGCCAACAGCAGCAGCAGCACCACCACCTGTTTGATAACCACTTCTACGGGTGACACAGGTGACATGATCAACTTGTCTACCATCTGTCGTTTTCAGCGACTAGGCTTTAACCCCATGATTAATGGCTCTTCATTTACAGAAAATTTATTAATTAAATAATTAATGATCCGACACTCCCAAAGGGCACACTTTAAGGGCGTGTCGGTGACTGAATGCTAAATGCTGAATGCTCGACTACTGGGGTACATTCCATTCAGATTCAGATTAGTAGAATACATTTGGATTTTTATATGTTTTTTATTGTGAATATTTTGCAATTAAAATCTGGAATAACCAGCTACGGGTAGAACTGTTCTTTGGTGGTATGACCTTTGAGATCTGTTTGTTATCTATTTACAAAAAAAAAGAGGCTGCAATTGCTGAACAGCTGACCCATTTTCAAGATAAAGATATATATAATGTGGATACAGATACGTCTCAAGATAAGGTTATAGTATGTAGTAAAGTCAGATATTTGTTTCTCTTATTTTTGGATGTTTAAGTGGTTGAAAAGTTTCTCTTTAAGCTTTGAGAAACATGAAGTGCTTGGCTTGGGGCATAGATCTTGCAGAATATTTCCTTCTAAACAAAACATTTTTAACTTATCCCTATCAAAGTTAAGCTGGGTTTATCTACCATCAAAAGAAGTGTTTTAATAGTCATATTAATTGCAATCTATAGTTGATATCCTTCTGTAGCTCCTCCTCTTGACACTCCCTCCCCCACGAATTATTTGTAAAGAATTTGCATTGAAATATTTGCCATAATTTAGATATAATTTATCGATTAGCATGTGTTGGAGTATACACTGAGATATACTCGTACATTAATTGTGTCATAATTCGCCACCTAATGCCAATCAATGGAGAAACTCGGAGACTCGGAGACAGCCTCAACTACAAGCTACAGGTGTTAGGCAGCCCCTGAATGTGGCAGCATGTGGCAGTGTCAGTGGCAGGTGGTTGTCCATCTAGTTATTCATACAAATACGAGTACGAGTATTGTTATTGTTGTCAGGCGGCTTGATAAATGAATTAAAGTTTGAATAAACACACGATAGACCGCCAAACGCCCCTTCCTTCCCAACGATCGCATTACACTCTAGATGTAGAAGTATCTGCCCCCGAAACGTATTCAATGTCCAAAGCCAGACGACAATTAGCCATGTCCAAAGTCAGAACGGAAGGCCACCGCATTGATGGAATGTCTCTCTGGTTTTCAACTGGTTTTCCAAATTTTTAAACATTTTTCGTTGGTTTCTCTTTTCAGTGGCGACGCGATGTCCAAATGGCCAAAGAACTCCATGTGGGAACGTACCGCTTCTCGTTGTCTTGGCCACGGATCATGCCTGGTGGATACATGAACCATGTGAGCACCGCCGGCATCAAGTACTACTCCAATTTGATCGACGAACTGCTGCGTTACAACATCACTCCCATGGTGACGATCTATCACTGGGAGCTGCCGCAGCGGCTCCAGGAGTTGGGTGGATGGACCAATCCGGAGATCATTCCGCTGTTCAAGGACTACGCCCGACTGGTGATGGAGATGTATGGGGATCGCGTGAAGATCTGGACCACCATCAACGAGCCCTGGCACGTTTGTGAGCATGGGTATGGTGTGGACTACATGGCACCATCGTACAATTATCCGGGAATTCCCGCCTATCTGTGCGGCCACAATCTGCTCAAGGCCCACGCGGAGGTGGTGCACATGTACCGGGATCTCTTCCAGCAGCGGCAGAAGGGACGCATTGGCATCACCCTGGACACCTCGTGGCCGGAGCCAAGGGATCCCGACTCTGCCGAGGATCGTGAGGCGTCCGAGCGTGCCATGCAGTTCTATGTCGGTTGGTTCGGTCACCCCATCTTCTCGAGGCATGGCAACTATCCCAAAGTAATGATCGAACGCATCCGCAATCTCAGCAAAGAGCAGGGCTTCGGTGTACGCTCCCGCCTGCCGGAGTTCACCCAAGAGGAGATCCGTCGCATCCGCGGCACAGCCGACTTCTTTGGCATCAATTCCTACACGAGTAATCTCGTGACTTCCAATGGCCACAACAACACAGGAAAGTTTCCAGTGCCGTCGTTCAATCACGACATGGGCGTGGTGGAGAGCCAGGAGGGTGTCGATTGGCCCGGTTCGGGTTCTGTTTGGTTAAAGGTAAGTTTTGGTTCATATAATTAAAGATAGCTGAAGGGTGTTCTTTGCCCTATATAATCCGATATGACCAGTTTTCCGCCTAGGCCTATATTTTTGGGATTTTTGAAGATGTAGATCTCCAATTTGATAGAAAAAATTATTTGAAGGTTTTCCAACTTTCATTAGAACTAAACACCAATAGATAATTCTATAAAAATTCTTACACCCATGAGACTCATCCATTAATCAGTATCTTGCCAGTCGTTAGACTTCTCAAAACTTGGAAAACCAATTTTTTGTTGGATTGGTTGAGCAAATTGATTGTTCTCTCTGGAGATGAGAACACCCTTGTGGCGCCTGGGACTTGGGATGAGGTAATTAACTGGGGGAGAAGTTTGGCTTGAGGCGCGAGGGTGACTTATCCCATTTGCAGTTTGAATTATGGTCTAAGGAATCAAATGGGGGTTGCCTCTGACACAGGTAGTTCAACGAACTCAACTAACTTGTGGCTTCCACTTGTACTTCTCTTTCCAGGTGTATCCCAAGGGCATGTACAACCTGCTTAAGTGGATTCACCGCGAGTACAATGCACCCGAGATTATTGTCACAGAGAATGGCGTGAGCGATCGTGGGGGCTTGGATGATTATGCCCGTGTCGACTACTACAATTCGTATCTAGATGCCATTCTTAATGCCATCGAGGATGGTCTGAACATCAGTGGCTACATTGCCTGGAGCCTGATGGACAGCTACGAGTGGAAGGCTGGTTTCACGGAGAAATTCGGACTCTATCATGTGGACTTTACATCGCCGGAGCGCACGCGTACGCCCAAGATCTCAGCGCGAGTATTTGCCCAGATCTGCAAGACGAATGAGATCGACTGGAGCTATCGGCCGACGCTCGATGATCAACAGTTGGTGGCTTTGGCGCAGCTTCCAGCTGAAGAAGTGGATCCCCGATCGAGTGGAGCCTCTAGTCTTGTGGGCTGGAGTCTGCTTTCCATCGCTCTGCTCACTTTTCTCAGATGAGAGAAGTAGAGAGAGAGAGAGAGAGGTTTAGAGTGTAGTGGAGGCTTGCCATGTATTGTTTTGCTACTCGTCGCCCCTAAGTTTTGTCTAAAAATCTAATATAATCTACTATATGTATAGAAACTCTAATTTGTACTTAAACTTAAAAACGCGAACCTGAATAAAACATTTTGTGATATTAAAAAAGATAACCTTGCAGAGGGTTTTTATTTTTGTTGTATTAATGGAAGAACTGAACTTCCATTCACTTCTAAAGTCATTCAAATGTTAAGCAGATCAAATGTGACATTTACATGCAGTAGGTACCCCGACGCGAGCCAATTCCTTGAGCTGTCTATGATGTTGATATTTCCGCAAGTAAATCCACACAATAGAACCAATGATCCGAGAACCAATGATCTGTTTTTAGAGCACAATGAGCCCTGATGCTTGAGAGATCCCACCTCTGTTTATTATATCACCATTATCATGGGATGAGGTTGAGGTTCATTTACAGGCAGCAGCAGCTGGTGGATAATTGTAGGGGTCTAGTCTAGTGGTTCCAGCATGAATCTGAATATTAAAATCCCTAGTAATCACCCTGATTATCTCATTTGCTTATGCATATAACATGATCACAGAATAGTAATATTATCTCTCTCACAATATCCGCTTCTCGAATCTCTAAACAGAAACGGAATTGAAAGTTGGCTTTACTTATGTCTAGAATAAACAAGTGAATATATCGTGTTCAGAACCAGTTACCTTTCATTTTGGGTAATGCTTTTTCCTTAATTATACTTATTTTTTATGCATTTACTTGGATTTATTGTTTTGGTTCAGCATCAGTCGCAGCGGCAGTGCCTACCAGTCGTCACACGAAATGTCTTGAATTAATTAAAAATTTGTGTAGTGCTTTTGTAGGAAACATTTCATGACAATGTCGGTTCAGGGAGGAGGCTCCTCTACACTCTACACACTCCACACTCCAGTCTAGTCTACAGTCTATTGAGTCGCCTCTGCACCTGTTTGAGTCACGAGCCGCACTGCCAGGGCATTTATAATTTATCAGCCATCGTCTGGGGGCAGCTGGAAACTGAAGCTTAAGACTCGTAAGGCTCGTATCTCTAGAAATGTAAAGTTCTTTAAACTTTAGAGAACCTCTCAAAAGTCATAAGCCACTCGAAAAGCAAAGAGCGTCATAAATTTGATTAACTATGATTGATGATTGCCTAATGAGTGAACAAAAGTCAATCAAATCTATGAGAATAATTTATAATTAATAATCGAAAAACATATCCGTTTTATCACTGGAAGCCCCTCTTTATGGCCACCACTGCCGCCGATGTTCTCTGTTTTCACTGCAATTCCCTTCAAAACAATTACTCAACAAATAATGTTATAACTTTGCGAAAACAACAAACAAACAAACACAAGGGGGGTTGCCTTCTGGAGTTGAAAGTTCTGATGTTTTTTCTCGGTTTTCTGTTTATTCGCTTATGAAATTTCTACAGGGCATTGCATCAGCCAATGTTTTGAGTTGAGTTTCCCCCGGCACGAACTTTGCGAAATTGCAATGTGGGAAATGATGAATGTGTTGTGTTTTTTCTTTGAAAAAGGTCAGAGAGTGATTTGAACGCAGAAAACCAGAATAAACATTTAGATTTACATATGGAGAGTTAAAAGCGATCTTTGGCTTAGTTTTTATTGGGTTTCGATCTCCAAAATAAGCTTGGAAATCCACCAAATGGCTTTGGCAATTGTGGCAAAGAAGGAAAAGCGGGTAATGGAACTTCTGGCAATGAAACCTCTGGCAATGAAATGTTGGTTAAGTTTGACTCTGGCAATGGCAGCAGAGAAGGCAATGGCAACCCAAATGGTGGAAAAGAAAGCGCCGGGAGAGGAGAAAGTTCTGGAAGCGGAAGGAGCGGAAAACCAGGATCATTCGATTGATGATAATGAAAGTGATGGTGCTGATGAATATCTTGTTGCCCGCCAGCAATAGTAGAAGCTGATGGTCCCGTGGTTGTTGTGTTCGGAGTTGTCGGCTCTGTAGTTGTCTTTACTGTTGTGGTCTTTACTGTAGTCGTTATAGGCGTTGTTGGCTTAAGAGTGGTCTTTGCTGTTGTAGTCTTTACTGTAGTCGTTTTCGGAGTTGTTGGCTTCGGAGTGGTCTTTACTGTTGTGGTCTTTACTGTAGTCGTTTTCGGAGTTGTTGACTTGGGAGTGGTCTTTACTGTTGTAGTCTTTACTGTAGTCGTTTTCGGAGTTGTTGGCTTCGGAGTGGTCTTCACTGTTGTAGTCTTTACTGTAGTCGTTTTCGGAGTTGTTGGCTTGGGAGTGGTTTTTACTGTTGTAGTCTTTACTGTTGTAGTCTTTACTGTTGTAGTCTTTACTGTAGTCGTTTTCGGAGTTGTTGGCTTAGGAGTTGTCTTTGCTGTTGTAGTCGTTTTCGGAGTTGTCTTTGCTGTTGTAGTCGTTTTCGGAGTTGTTGGCTTAGGAGTTGTCTTTGCTGTTGTAGTCTTTACTGTAGTCGTTTTCGGAGTTGTTGGCTTCGGAGTGGTCTTCACTGTTGTAGTCTTTACTGTAGTCGTTTTCGGAGTTGTTTGCTTGGGAGTGGTCTTAACTGTTGTAGTCTTTACTGTAGTCGTTTTCGGAGTTGTTGGCTTAGGAGTTGTCTTTGCTGTTGTAGTCTTTACTGTAGTCGTTTTCGGAGTTGTTGGCTTAGTAGTTGTCTTTGCTGTTGTAGTCTTTACTGTAGTCGTTTTCGGAGTTGTTGGCTTCGGAGTGGTCTTCACTGTTGTAGTCTTTACTGTAGTCGTTTTCGGAGTTGTTGGCTTAGGAGTTGTCTTTGCTGTTGTTGTCTTTACTGTAGTCGTTTTCGGAGTTGTTGGCTTAGGAGTTGTCTTTGCTGTTGTAGTCTTTACTGTAGTCGTTTTCGGAGTTGTTGGCTTGGGAGTGGTTTTTACTGTTGTAGTCTTTACTGTTGTAGTCTTTACTGTTGTAGTCTTTACTGTAGTCGTTTTCGGAGTTGTTGGCTTAGGAGTTGTCTTTGCTGTTGTAGTCGTTTTCGGAGTTGTTGGCTTAGGAGTTGTCTTTGCTGTTGTAGTCGTTTTCGGAGTTGTTGACTTAGGAGTTGTCTTTGCTGTTGTAGTCTTTACTGTAGTCGTTTTCGGAGTTGTTGGCTTCGGAGTGGTCTTCACTGTTGTAGTCTTTACTGTAGTCGTTTTCGGAGTTGTTGGCTTGGGAGTTGTCTTTGCTGTTGAAGTCGTTTTCGGAGTTGTTGGCTTAGGAGTTGTCTTTGCTGCTGTAGTCGTTTTCGGAGTTGTTGGCTTAGGAGTTGTCTTTGCTGTTGTAGTCGTTTTCGGAGTTGTTGGCTTAGGAGTTGACTTTGCTGTTGTAGTCTTTACTGTAGTCGTTTTCGGAGTTGTTGGCTTCGGAGTGGTCTTTACTGTTGTGGTCTTTACTGTAGTCGTTTTCGGAGTTGTTGACTTGGGAGTGGTCTTTACTGTTGTAGTCTTTACTGTAGTCGTTTTCGGAGTTGTTGGCTTAGGAGTGGTCTTTACTGTTGTAGGCTTTACTGTAGTCGTTTTCGGAGTTGTTGGCTTAGGAGTTGTCTTTGCTGTTGTAGTCTTTACTGTAGTCGTTTTCGGAGTTGTTGGCTTATGAGTTGTCTTTGCTGTTGTAGTCTTTACTGTAGACGTTTTCGGAGTTGTTGGCTTAGGTGTTGTCTTTGCTGTTGTAGTCTTTACTGTAGTCGTTTTCGGAGTTGTCTTTGCTGTTGTAGTCTTTACTGTAGTCGTGTTCGGAGTTGTTGGCTTAGGAGTTGTCTTTGCTGTTGTAGTCTTTACTGTAGTCGTTTTCGGAGTTGTCTTTGCTGTTGTAGTCTTTACTGTAGTCGTGTTCGGAGTTGTTGGCTTAGAAGTTGTCTTTGCTGTTGTAGTCGTTTTCGGAGTTGTTGGCTTAGGAGTTGTCTTTGCTGTTGTAGTCGTTTTCGGAGTTGTTGGCTTAGGAGTTGTCTTTGCTGTTGTAGTCTTTACTGTAGTCGTTTTCGGAGTTGTTGGCTTAGGAGTTGTCTTTGCTGTTGTAGTCTTTACTGTGGTCGTTTTCGGAGTTGTTGGCTTCGGAGTGGTATTCACTGTTGTAGTCTTTACTGTAGTCGTTTTCGGAGTTGTTGGCTTAGGAGTTGTCTTTGCTGTTGTAGTCGTTTTCGGAGTTGTTGGCTTAGGAGTTGTCTTTGCTGTTGTAGTCGTTTTCGGAGTTGTTGGCTTAGGAGTTGTCTTTGCTGTTGTAGTCTTTACTGTAGTCGTTTTCGGAGTTGTTGGCTTAGGAGTTGTCTTTGCTGTTGTAGTCTTTACTGTAGTCGTTTTCGGAGTTGTTGTCTTAGGAGTTGTCTTTGCTGTTGTAGTCTTTACTGTAGTCGATTTCGGAGTTGTCTTTGCTGTTGTAGTCTTTACTGTAGTCGTTTTCGGAATTGTCTGTGCTGTTGTAGTCTTTACTGTAGTCGTTTTCGGAGTTGTCGGCTTAGGAGTGGTCTTTACTGTTGTAGGCTTTACTGTAGTCGTTTTCGGAGTTGTTGGCTTAGGAGTTGTCTTTGCTGTTGTAGTCTTTACTGTAGTCGTTTTCGGAGTTGTTGGCTTATGAGTTGTCTTTGCTGTTGTAGTCTTTACTGTAGTCGTTTTCGGAGTTGTTGGCTTGGGAGTTGTCTTTGCTGTTGTAGTCGTTTTCGGAGTTGTTGGCTTAGGAGTTGTCTTTGCTGCTGTAGTCGTTTTCGGAGTTGTTGGCTTAGGAGTTGTCTTTGCTGTTGTAGTCGTTTTCGGAGTTGTTGGCTTAGGAGTTGACTTTGCTGTTGTAGTCTTTACTGTAGTCGTTTTCGGAGTTGTTGGCTTGGGAGTGGTCTTTACTGTAGTCGTTTTCGGACTTGTTGGCTTAGGAGTTGTCTTTGCTGTTGTAGTCTTTACTGTAGTCGTTTTCGGAGTTGTTGGCTTAGGAGTTGTTTTTACCGTTGTAGTCTTTGCAGTTGTCGTTGTCGGCTCAGAAGTTGTTTTTACCGTTGTGGTCTTTGCAGTTGTCGTTGTCGGCTCAGAAGTTGTTTTTATCGTTGTGGTTTTTGCAGTTGTCGTTGTCGGCTCAGAAGTTGTTTTTACCGTTGTAGTCTTTGCAGTTGTCGTTGTCGGCTCAGAAGTTGTTTTTACCGTTGTGGTCTTTGCAGTTGTCGTTGTCGGCTCAGAAGTTGTTTTTACCGTTGTGGTCTTTGCAGTTGTCGTTGTCGGCTCAGAAGTTGTTTTTACCGTTGTAGTCTTTGCAGTTGTCGTTGTCGGCTCAGAAGTTGTTTTTACCGTTGTAGTCTTTGCAGTTGTCGTTGTCGGCTCAGAAGTTGTTTGTACCGTTGTGGTCTTTGCAGTTGTCGTTGTCGGCTCAGTAGTTGTTTTTACCGTTGTGGTCTTTGTAGTTGTCGTTGTCGGCTCAGAAGTTGTTTTTACCGTTGTGGTCTTTGCAGTTGTCGTTGTCGGCTCAGAAGTTGTTTGTACCGTTGTGGTCTTTGCAGTTGTCGTTGTCGGCTCAGAAGTTGTTTTTACCGTTGTGGTCTTTGCAGTTGTCGTTGTCGGCTCAGAAGTTGTTTTTACCGTTGTAGTCTTTGCAGTTGTCGTTGTCGGCTCAGAAGTTGTTTGTACCGTTGTGGTCTTTGCAGTTGTCGTTGTCGGCTCAGAAGTTGTTTTTACCGTTGTGGTCTTTGCAGTTGTCGTTGTCGGCTCAGAAGTTGTTTTTACCGTTGTGGTCTTTGCAGTTGTCGTTGTCGGCTCAGAAGTTGTTTTTACCGTTGTGGTCTTTGCAGTTGTCGTTGTCGGCTCAGAAGTTGTTTTTACCGTTGTGGTCTTTGCAGTTGTCGTTGTCGGCTCAGAAGTTGTTTTTACCGTTGTGGTCTTTGCAGTTGTCGTTGTCGGCTCAGAAGTTGTTTTTACCGTTGTAGTCTTTGCAGTTGTCGTTGTCGGCTCAGAAGTTGTTTGTACCGTTGTGGTCTTTGCAGTTGTCGTTGTCGGCTCAGAAGTTGTTTTTACCGTTGTGGTCTTTGCAGTTGTCGTTGTCGGCTCAGAAGTTGTTTTTACCATTGTAGTCTTTGCAGTTGTCGTTGTCGGCTCAGAAGTTGTTTTTACCGTTGTGGTCTTTGCAGTTGTCGTTGTCGGCTCAGAAGTTGTTTGTACCGTTGTGGTCTTTGCAGTTGTCGTTGTCGGCTCAGAAGTTGTTTTTACCGTTGTGGTCTTTGCAGTTGTCGTTGTCGGCTCAGAAGTTGTTTGTACCGTTGTGGTCTTTGCAGTTGTCGTTGTCGGCTCAGAAGTTGTTTTTACCGTTGTGGTCTTTGCAGTTGTCGTTGTCGGCTCAGAAGTTGTTTTTACCGTTGTGGTCTTTGCAGTTGTCGTTGTCGGCTCAGAAGTTGTTTTTACCGTTGTGGTCTTTGCAGTTGTCGTTGTAGGCTCAGAAGTTGTTTTTACCGTTGTAGTCTTTGCAGTTGTCGTTGTCGGCTCAGAAGTTGTTTTTACCGTTGTGGTCTTTGCAGTTGTCGTTGTCGGCTCAGAAGTTGTTTTTATCGTTGTGGTTTTTGCAGTTGTCGTTGTCGGCTCAGAAGTTGTTTGTACGGTTGTGGTCTTTGCAGTTGTCGTGGTCGGCTCAGAAGTTGTTTGTACGGTTGTGGTCTTTGCAGTTGTCGTTGTCGGCTCAGAAGTTGTTTGTACGGTTGTGGTCTTTGTAGTTGTCGTTGTCGGCTCAGAAGTTGTTTTTACCGTTGTGGTCGCGGCTGTGGGGGTTGTAAAAGCCAGTGGACATCCTGGCAGGAAAGGATTTAGAGTACAATAGAATGGATATTGTACAGTAGTCGTTTCCGTATCGTCAGCTATCTGCCTGGCGCCACTTCCTTCCTGGGCTGCATGGGCAGCATGGTAAAGTGCAAGAAAAAGCAAACTTTTCAGGATATTCTATAATTGGGCGAGGAACTTGATGATGTTATGTTGCTATTCGAGGAATTCCCGACTTACCATTGGGACGGTTTCAAAGAAACTGTTGATTTGTTAAGCTGAAACCAAGTGTTTATATAGGAAGTACCAAGAGAGTTGGGATTTCATTTCTCTGATAAGCTGTGTCTATGGTTCAAGTGCAAAGTTCAACAAAGGTTGAATGAGGCATGCCATACACGCCATTAAGATAGGTTTTTAAGATTTTTGTGCAATTAAAATTCCATTGTTCATTCATAGGCATAATGGTTAGGTATTTATGTTAGTGAAGAAAGGTCTCCTTTCCAAGTGGATAGTTTTCTTATCAATGTGCACCCAAAAATGTGTTTAGACATGCAATTTACGAGTATAAACTTTGGAAACTAAGTGATTCCCTGGAATGGTGGTAAGAATAACTCGCCGTATGTGTGTTATATAAATGCGGTGCCAGAGCTCCAATTAAGTGGGAGGAGCGAGGATCAGCATGGAATGATGTACATCATTTGATGTACGCGTTAAAGCTTGGCCGCTAGAGGCGCCATCGCCGTTTCTCTTCTTCTTCTTTTTCATCTGGCGGGAGTTTAATTCAAAAATGAGATTCAAGTCCGCTAGGGCCTCTTTTTTTGTTTTCTCTTTTCTCAGCCCAAAATTATGCTATGATTTCCATAAACATAGCAAGCAGCTGACGCTTGGAATGTAATAGTATGTTATCGATCTCATCTCATCTCTATGGGCGCGAAGTTCAAATGCGTACATACTTTATTATTTTGTGTTCCCTGTTGGTTGATTTCGACGCCACTAATTCTGCCTTTTGTGGTTTGAGCTGATCAGAAAAATATCCTTGATCGATTGGACGCATGCATCTGCTGTATGGATGGAATCCAATAATAATTCATAAACTACTATTAAAATTCTCCTCAAGCTTGTCGATTAAACAAATTTGTGGTTTGATATGCCTTGTCACGTTTTAGTTTCGTGGCAAACACGTGCTTGATGAGATCTTCTGGCTGTTATGTTCCGATTCCACACACCCCCACCAGCAATGCGCCGAGGATTAACCCGCTGTGCCATTTATCAAACAATTCATAGAGCTCATTGCACTTATTGAAAATTAATACGGCTTTAAATCCCACAACAGTGCAAAAATCAGCACACATGCTCCCTGCTCGCTGGCGTTCCCTGTCGCATATATCCACCCCTCGCTCCCTGTTCTATATCTAACGATAATCCCGCGAACAAGGCATTTAGAGCAGACATAGGGGATAGCTACACATGTACATATATCACCTCAACAAACATCTGTCTGCGGATGAAAAAAAAAGATTAAATAACAATAAGAGGTGATATCCAAAGATTCATGGCTGTGTAAAGTAGGTACCACTTTTATCCATAGTTCTCTCCCATCATCATTTTAAATCTGATATTTCCCATCATCACATTTCAAAAACTTCCCTTTTAATTGAGAAAAATTATATTTCAATAGCAACAAATCAACCAACTGGTAATCAAATGAATAATGTGTACACAGATTTTTGTGGCCCTGTGGTTAATTCGATTAAGATTTGTACAACGCAACACACAATTTAAGAGAATGCGGGTATGGGATACCGCCGATATGGCTGGAGAAGCCATATAGATATGTATATGTATATCCTAAATACTCGAATGAAAGTGGCTTGTAGAGGCTCTTAACGGAAGGCTCCTTCTCATGGGACATGCTTTTCTTCATCAGCAATTCCTTCTCTTCTTGATTGGTTCAATTATATCGCCCTCCGTATATCACAATGCAATTATAGGCAGCCAACAATTGATTTAACCCTTTCTGAAATCAATATTAAATTACATCATATTCCAATAGAAATTTCATAAAATGCTGCGCACTGATTGAAACATCGTTGCCCTCATCGTTGGATTCTGTATAACATCATCCATTCCTCCCTGCCCCATGCCACTTGCCACATGTCATGAGAGTCCATTCCCCCATTGCCTCAAGTGTAGATTAAGTTTGGCGATAAAGTATCATTGAATCCATTGAATATTTTGTGCTTTTTGTGCTGGGGTCGATAGTTCTATAGCATGAACCATCATTCCCCCTCATACTCGTAGATGGTGACGTTTAGTAATTGGCTACGAGAACAAAAGCTTAGAGAGCACCCTCATCGCATTAGAAATGCAACTGTTCGGCATGGAAATGGTTTATAGAGCCCCCCTATTGAATGAGATAAAGTTTTCACATAAATCTTTTACTTGAATCATGGGAAAATGTGTATCAGAAATGATCCTTTAGCTCTGTGAAACCCTTATAATTACAGAGCTACGAGAAATCGGAAAGTAAAGAATGGAACTCCCTATCGTCAGCTGTGGTCCAAGCAATAAATTAGCCAGAAAATATCGTTAGCTAATGAAAGGTGTGAAAGGTAAAAGAAAGGGAGGGTTTCCCCGAGGTTCTCCTGCCCCTAGCGTAGTACGTGTCAAGATCGGCAGCTGAAAAACCTTTTCTTCGAATCAAAATCACAATCCTTAAAGTCAGACAGGGTTCAATGTCCTCTCTCGTTCCATGGCTTTCGCTGTCGTCTCCCTCTCTCTGTTTAAGCTATAATGACAAACCAATTACCAGTAAAAGACCTGGACTTGGACATGGACTTTCATGGTCTTTTGGGGCACGTAGTCCAGGCAGTGGCAGGCGTTGTGTAGCCTGGCTCATGATTGCGCAACAAATTGGACAAACGACGCATGTCACCCCTTTTAAGGATGGAAAACACAGTTAGAGCCATCACACAGGCCATATTTGAGACAGTGACAAATGTTTGAAACTCAAATGCAATGAGGACTGAGATATTGTGCGTGAGGCTCTAATGTTTATGCGTCTGTAGATGATGAGAACTTTGCAATTGAGGGAAACTAAAAGGAAAAGTTATGGCTTCCTCTTGCAATTATTTAAGGGTTCCTCTTATAAATTCAGCCTTTAGTACTGACTAGAATTATTTGATATTTTATGGATTATTCAGGTTATGATTACTTTGCTTTCCGGAATGGTTTATGGGGTAGAAAATCCCATTCTGGAATTTTTCTCTCTGTACAAATCACAATAATTATTCCCCCATAAACTTTCCATTTCCAGTGGCGTGCGCTACTGTACCCCTGGGCTTAGTTTTCAATCCACCACCAAATGCAGAAGGAGGCTGCTGCTGCTGCTGCCGCTGCTACTCCCGAATGGGATGACAACCCTGGCTGGACCCTGGTCTGATCCAAGCGACAACTGTGGCGCCTGCGCAGCTGCTGCTGCTGCTGCTCTACCAATCTAGGGAGCACGCACTCCATCTGTCTGTCTCCTTCTCTACGGGTATTATGTGTCGCCTCTTTGTCTGTAATTTCACGCAATGAAGAGCGAGCGGGACGTCTAGTACGTGTGCGTGTGTGTGTGTGTGTACATGTAACTGCTTATTGATCGATCGCTTCGATATCGAATTTTTATTGTTGTTTGTCATTCCAGAATGCGTCACCATCACGCAGAAGCAGCAGCACAAACAGCAACAAAAGGGGCGAAGGCGAAGGATGGGTATGGCATGGAATGGGTCATTGTTCCAAGGGGTTTTTCTGGGTCTACTTCATGCCAGGGGTTGCTTTTGCTTTAGTGCAATTGCAGTTTTAATGTTACTCATTGTGAAGGGTAGCTTTTTGGATCAACCCTTAGCTACTACCATTTCGATTATCATCGCCTGGGAATGCTGCTATTTACTTCAGAGTCTGGATTCGGGTTTCGTTTTTGTGGATTGCACATCTTCTCACCATTAGAGAAATGTTCCCTTATTTGTATTATTTTTTGTATATTTTGATTCGAAAAGGGAACTGCACATCAAGTTCATTGATTTTTTGCATGTTTTTCCACACTTAACTGCTATTGTAGCTTATCCAAGGATTTGTTTTGAAGATTTATTTGAATTACGCGCGAGAATTGTGGCAGGGGAGCACTCACGGATGAGAAAATTTAACCAAAAGAAGATTTAGATGGGATTCCAGCTCTAATTATACATTCTGGAAAGATATTACCCTTGGAAATATTCAGTTTTGCTTAAATTTATATTAAAATTTGTCTAGTTTTCCTCCCCCCAGCAAGGAGCAAAAAATTTGATGATCATGTAACCCATTTAGATAAACGATCGTCTCATTTGTAACCCAATGCCCATGCGGTGATTATCACCCACTGACGATCTCATGCACACCCTCTGACCACGACACCCGGCCAGAGCGAACCGAGAGAGGGCTAGAGAGAGTCCGTCCTACAAGCAATGGTTAATTGTTTTCTCCTTTTGCTGGCAGTGCTGCATTTATGAGGCAAAAGAACCGCCCACTGGGACATCTAGTGTTAATTTATGGCACACCTAAAGGTACACACACCTCGTGGCTTATAGGAGTACCATACGTATATATCACAATGATGTATCGTTAGAACAGGCAACATATCACACACGAGGCAGCTGCCAGAGCGGAGCCCAAGTCAAGCTTTTGTCCAGAGCGGTGCTTACATAAAACAGTGAAATACAGAGAGACGGACACTGGACTGGCTGAAGCGGGTCTATTGTAGTCACATTATTAGATTCGCATCGCTGGCCATATTAATTGTTGTTGCCCATGTTCGTAGTGCAGCACAGACAGAAAGCAGAGAAGAGAATGAATGGTTCATTGAGCACCAGGCACCGAGGGGCCCACAGAATGCAACTGTCATTAACAGGAGCGGATGCAGTACCTCTGTACCTCCATTTCTCTCACTCAGATCCGTCCCTGTACCACCGTTTGCGTTTGACATTCAAATTTGGTCAAAATGACACGGGGGTTCTGGGCTAACGCTTGCGACTAGGTCTGGGCCCCAGAGTTTACAGCCGGAAATTCTAATTGTTGTTGAGGTTGCACATTACAAAAACATACCTACAAAAGATAGAAAAAAAGAGGTTTTAGAGCGGGCGGGAGCACTATATTCTCAGGACTTACATGTACTCCAATTCCAAACTGCAACTGAGAGCAGACTCTCATTCAATCGCTCTCTCTCTCTCTCTCTCTCTCTGGGGACTGGAAATGCAAACAAACATTACTCCATTCCAGGATCGACAACCTGCAGGCGGGCAGGCAGACAGGCCTGGGTGGCAGGGTGGATATCGATTTTTAGTGGCAATTGCAGTTGCCACGGGCAGCCGCATGCCCCCATACCCCATGCTCTGCCCCTGCCGTTGGGGTAGTCTCTCTAGTCTCAAGTTCGTCTGCCAATTATTTGCCGCTTATTAGAAGGAGTCCCCGGGAAGAGGCCGAGCAGCAGCGGCAGCAGCAGCTGGTGCTGGTTTGGTGGTGGTGTTGGCAGCACGTGACTACTGCGTTGCGTTGTCCATTGTTTGCATTTTGCATACAGTACTCCCAGCTGAGGGTGGTTCCCTCTACTGGACTGCGTGTGGCATGACTTTGACGGGCAGCAAGATACACACACAGCAACTCAAGTGTTGCTTTAATGTTTGGGCCATTTACATGAAGTGGAAGAAGCCACCCCCGAGAGTAAATCAGAGCCAAAGCCACACACAACG